TCTCCCTCTGATAATTATCAAGACTATAATTACAAATTTTAAATTGCAAATGCTAATGGAATAAAGAATACAAGCACAAATAACAGCAGCATACCTCGTGCACACTCCCGTTCAATTCGAGTTAAATATTTTCAAAATTGTGGGCGTTATCACATGTTTGATAGTGGCTCTTCTAGCATCTGGAAAGTAGGTATGTGGTACGTGGCTGGATTACTTCCGCTGGATAAGAAAATACACATTCAGATGATTGAAAATACTTATCTGGAAATTTGGTTGCCTTAGTTCTTATGGTCTCTGAGAACTAAGCGCTAAGCAGACATGGCTATATCAACTCGACTATTGATTCTGATCAAGAATATATATACTTTAGGGGGTCGGAAACGCTTCCCTCTGGACGTTACACATCCACTTTCCACTTTTAAATGCAGTGTTCCAAAGAACTCAAAGTATTGATCAAATTAATGGCGCCATTGGACACCGAAGAGATCTGGAAAGCTAATGCGACACACGCGACAATGTAGTTCGATTAGCCTGGCCTGCCCACTGTGTGCAAATTGTTTATGCAAACTATTGCATAAGTGCAGTCTATTAGCATTAATAACCTGTCGAGACAAATGACCGGCACGGGCTGCGCAAATTCCAATGGAATTACTTCACTACACCCTGCCAAAGGTTTCGAACACTCGATTAATTAGCATGTCAATATCAGCGACAGCCCCTCAGGCAGGGTTACGTAACGCGCCAGCCACCGACCCTTTGCAAATAGTTTCTGATTGATCAGTCGTTGGTTAGCCGCTACTTCGATTCTTTGAGTTTTCAGAGCACAGATAGATTAAAGATGGTACAATATAAATTATATAAAGATAAAAGCATATATTTCTTGATTGTGGCTTTGTAGACCATCAAATTGGTATTCAAAGATTGTTGGATAGCCACGAGACATATGAATATAACTAAGAGTTGGCTCATTTTGCTGCGATTGGGATTGAGCAGACATTTTAGAACTTTCAAGAAAATCGCAACTGTTAGAGAAACTCTTTTCCTAACTCTCCGTTTAGTGGTGGGATACCCGGTACTCTGATTCTAAGTATCTACACTGAGAGAATAATGGCATACAAAATGGCATAGAAATCACTTTGATTCAAATATAAATTTACTGAGAAGTCTAAATATATTAAATATGTAAGAAAAATATTTCATTTAAATATAAATTAATTAATAATATTTATTTTAAATGTAATATACATATGTATTTTTAGTTTAAATATTTGCATATTAGTGTAGTAAAAGCTTTTCTCTCGGGGTTCAAATTCCACTATTGAAACGAGAAGATATGGAAATGATGGCGGTTCGTATTTCTGATCCAACTATTTAAGGTATCCACCCAACTTTTTCATGATTCCGCCTGTTTGAGCCATCAGAACACGGTCCATTTTGATAGGTTGTATATAAGTAACAATTTTTTTAGGTTTTGGCATTCCTTACCTTAGTGGAAAAACCCCAAAACTGTTTCCAAACAAAAGATTAATTTTTGTTTATTTTGGCGTATATTCAGAGATCCCGAATTAGTCACCAAGGGGAGGACGTTTATCAACCCTTCAAATGGGGCTTAGAATACTGATACACGTTTGATTAATTCGTTTTTAATTACTGGCCACGTAGGTATTCAGGCCAACAATAGAGTTTTGCTAAACAAATGAGATTTTCCATACAATGTTGACTGGCAGTTACATCAGCGGCAGGGGCTGAAGTGGAAAGTAAACAGATAATAAATCATAACCGTTAAGTGTTTTCAATTACCCAATTTACCAATCGCGAATCGCAAAGCGGGGCACGTTCCAACTGTGGCAACAACAAAGGCAGCGGCAACACTAATACTTAAATGCTATTTATCAGCAGAGCGGAGCGCAGGCCTTGCACGGGGTGGTGTTGGTGCTGGTGGCGGTGCGGTGCGGTGGGGTGGGGTGGGGTCTGGCAGGGAGGCAGCACATGCCAAACTGGTGGCCGGATGGGGCAAAGCTTTCGTTCTCTCTCTTTCTAGTAAAAGCAACAGAAATAAAAACAAAAGCCGATAAGTCTGTTTTTGCAACGACAGCAAAAAGTCAAACGCAAACGGCGTCTGCCTTCCTCCTGCCCAACTCTCTCTCTCTCTCTCTCTCTTCCCCCTGAGTCGCCTCTTCGCAGTACGGACTCTACGGATTGATGGGGAGACGTGGCTGTAGCTGTGACTGTGGGTGTGTGCGCAGCAAAGTGCGACATTTTGCTGCTGATTAAGTAGCGTTCGTTTTTAATAAAAGTACGACAAGCAAATAAAACAACAAGTTGCACAAACAGTGATGGCAGCGTGACACGAGCCAGCTTCTCGTGAGTGCTCGCTTTAAGTTCAGGTGGGAAAAATCACAATATGTATCGAGTAGGAGACCTTCTTCGTAAATACTGTGATAAAATAACATTCATTCATTCAAGGTTCAGAATAAGTAATATTTTCCTGAGTTCTTGAAGCTTGGAACTGTTTAGACATCATTAAATTCCAGATTCTATATCATACGATTATAAGAAAGGGCTATAAGGGGTCTAGAGTTATCCCTTGATGAGTAATGAATTCCTTGTGCTAAGACATGGAAACACAGGCCAATTCCGATATATATTCTTACGATATGATAGTTTAATTTCCCGCTACTCCCTTGGGCTCCTGACATGACAGCTTTGTCACGCTGTCATCTCTGGGGCAGAAACACACACTTACCGTTGGATGATATACTATACACATGGCCGCAACGCGCTGGCAGGCCCTGCCACCCACAGAAGCTTCGGAGAGCGGGCGGGCTCGCTCGGCAATCGTTTACTCGGCTTCGTCCTTGTGCACGTCCTCGTGCTGTCACAGCAATCGCCCTTGCAGAAGGTTACGCTGCCGGGCCGCCGCTGGCACGTGGCCCATGCCCCGTTATGTGGCTGCGGCTCTGTGGCTCTGCGGCTTTTGTGGGGGAGTGTGTCGGGGCGAAGGGCATGGACAACGACAACCAGAACGACAATGGGGGTTTGGTTTTAGCGTGCTGCCATATGTTTCCGGCAAGTGTCCGCCCAACTCCTTCTCCTTGGTGCTCCCCTCTTATGCTTGGAGTGGCAGCTCGCTCCTCCCCCTCCCCCTTTGAGGCATGAAAAGCGTTGAAATCTGCAGTGCCAACAACAAGTAGACGAGGGGTGAAAAGGAGCGGGGAGTCGGGGCTGTAACCTGATACCACTTCCTTCGACTGGGGGGCCAACACCTTCTGTCGCCGCCGACGCATCGCTCTGATTTATCTGTGCCACAGCCACATCATATCCATAAAAGTACATATATCCCATTCGCAAACAGGGTGTTTCATTTTGATGATTTTATTGTTTTCGAAAATCAGCTAGAATTAACTTAGAGTGTCTGTGGATTACATTTCGAGTGTGGTCTAACAATATTTCATACAAGAGTGCGTACAATCAGAGCTATATGCTACATATACATACTATATACTATATATTCGTACATATGTTAATAGGTTTCTTTATTTAGTTAGGGTTTCCGAACAGTACAATATCAAGCTTACAAAAGTCAAGAGATCCGATCGGATGTCGGACCAAAGCCTTCGAAGTTCGAATATATATCTCAATAATAGAAATAAATAATAAATATACAACAATCTGGAGTCGAGACAAAGTTTTGGAATAGCTGGATCTGAGGCTTTTCAATTTGTTTGATTGCCTGGAAATTATGTTAATTTCGGGCCGATCACGAGGGATGGGATGCTGTAAATGCCGAGGGTGGTTTAATCAAGGGGTAGGTTGATATCTCTCTCTTTCTGTCTGTCCGTCTTTATCTGTTGTGGACACCATTCTACGAAATCCAGCTATTCCCGTAAGATACTCATACATTTTCTCCCTAGTAATTTTTATACTTTTTTTTCTCTCTGTAAAATATGTACATACGATATGAATAACAAAACAAAATATCAGCTAAAAGCGGAAAAGGGTAGAGGGAAAGTATGAAAACCTAAAGCCTTTTCTTTCAAGTCTATGAATATCGTAAATATAAGAGTATAATATCATATCTGTATAGGGTTTTATTTGGTCAAAGCTCTATAAAAAAAAATCCAAATTTATTTTCATGTGCCGTGTGGTATGTATGTTGTGTTTCCATTTCGCTTTGCCACGAATCATTTCGATTCGATTTGAAATTTATGTACAAAGTTCGTGCTGCAATTAAACGTAATACGAAAAAAGTATCTACAAGATATACGCGTATCTACATATACATATGTTGGTATGTGTGCGCCTGTGTGTGGGTCTGTTATTTGCATTATTCCGTTTTGTTTGTTTGATTTGCTTATATGTATATAGTGTAGTATTGTTTTGTATCTTTATGCCCGACACGCTCGCTCAAAGCGGCGCAAAATCGTTAAAATTTTATCGCCTCGTTGAAGAACGTGAGTATGTATCGGTTATCGATGTGTGTGTGTTTGTGTGTGTGTGTGTGGGTTTGTGCATGTGTGTTTCTCTTCATCTTCTTTATGGTCTCTGCTCTGCTCTTCTATCCACCCGGCAGCACTTTATTTTGACTCCACCACCAAAACCACAACTTCACACTTCGGAGCACATTCTCCACGTCGCACTGGTGGCAAGTGGCAAGTGTGAGAGGTGGTGGGGGGGTCATAATCAAATATTCTTGATGCGATTACGCTGCTCCTAACATTCGGGCGCCTATCAGGCATCGGAATTCTACATATAATCCTATTTTAAACAAAAAAAGTCTCTATCGCCTCTCTACTCTAGTGTTCTATTCGGGTTTCGGTGTTGCTTGGACTTTCTCCCTTGCTCCAAACAAAAAAAAAAAAGCAAAAACGAAGATCAAACGATCAAAATCGTCTTATCTCAGGTTTTTTTTTTACTGATATTTCTAATAATTAATTCGTTGCTGCTTTGTGCCTAACTTTTTCTTTCTTTCTTTGTTTTTTGTTAATATTTATGTACATATGTATGTATATTTGATTAATTTTTTGTACGATATATTTTTAACATTTTTGTGGCCTGCCTTTTGTCGAATATTTACTGGTATCCCAAATACAATTGCAAAATATTTTCTTGGCTTTGAGAACGATACGGTTTGGTCTCTAATCTATTCTACACGTACATTGCGTATATTGCTTTCTATTGAGGGTATTCCGGGTCGATTTTAAGGCTTACGAATCTCGTCCATTTCAAGTTAACTGATTTCATACGAATTGCACTTTTCTTCGGGAGCGAGGTCAGACGACAGGTGTTGTCTGTCTCTCAGTTGTTGTCATTGCTGCTGTTGTTGTTTTGTAGGTTCTCCAGCGGCGCCACGAGATACATTTGCGTTCCGCACAGCCACAGAAAAGCTGCAAGCAAAGAACCAGAAGAAGATAGAAGAAACCAGAATGAATGAAAATGCTATTCGCCTTTGAATGGGTGAAAATACAAAATGATGTAATGATGTTCATTAAAAGGCCAATGGAATAGCCAAACAGCCAAAAGAATACAAAACAGGGGAAAGAAAAGAGGAAGGCTGGCAAGTATCTAAATACCCTTACAGATTTATTGTGTCTCTGGACAGCCGATAATTGAAGCCAGCTATTTGTTAGTATCTAACATTTAAATCTATAGTATTTTCTGGGAGTTATACGATGGAGTTCCCTTAAAATAGCGTCTACTTTTTGCAGCAAAATCAAGGCTAAGTGCAATATACTATATGCGGTCAAGCGTCCAACCAAAAATATAAATACCCTAACGAAGTGTATGAAAGCAAAACTGAAATGCCTTCTAACGGCACAAAATAAAAGCAAAGTAGAGTTCGTATGAATGACCGACCACGACCGCGCTGCCGAATGACGAACGACAGAGACGAGACGACAGAGTGAGCGAGCGGAGGAAGTAGTACGCGAGAGGAAAACAGTAAAAGAGTAAGAGAGAGAGAGAGAGAGCAAGTAGAAGAAGACACTCACTCACATTATTTGTGTATAATGACTACTTGAGAAAAGCCAAGCGAAGAGCAAAGGCGGAGGTGGAGGAGCAGACCGGAAAAATAGGAAGAGAGAAAAACGCAAAACACGAAACGTAATTTGTATAATTCGAGTCTCTATTCCATTCCATTCCATTATGTGTGGGAAATGCGCCAAAACGTACAAAATTATAGCCAACTCATAAGGGAAATAGAAAAAAGTTGGTTAGAGCGGGTTCTTTCTTCCGCGTTGAAGAAAGAAGCGTCCAAAAGTCATACCTTATTATACGGACGGAACCCGACTTTGGTAACCAATCAATCAGATTGATAGAGTGAGATCAAATCAGGCCTCCAGAAGAAATCATAAAAAAGATAGGAGAGATCGGTTTGAAGAAAATCAAGCATCGACGAAAACTATTGAAGGATAGGAATTCATAAAAATAAGTGCTTAAGGGTAACCGTGATTTAGGGAAAATCTAGCATGAAAATATATAGTATAGTAATTAAAGAACTTTTAAAAACAAGAAGAAAAGCATCGATGGGAAACGACTGGAAGATTCGCGGGAAATCACTAGAAACCAAAAACAAAATCGATTGAAAAACCTTTCATATCAAAAGAACGAATAGTATATCCAATTCAGTCTTATTTAGAACTCGGAAATCTGAGCAATATTAACGAATAAATGGTTAGAGTGGTGTTTGCAATCAAAGTAACTAAATGTCACCTTAGAGAACCACTTAAAAGAGTCGAAATAAGACAGATCTTTCATTCAGTTTGTATCGATAAAAGCTTTAAGAGGGGCTTTCCAAGAAACATCGAAGAGATCAAAAGAATTAAGAATAGGAAATTGCAAATGTAAACTCAAGAAAAACATAATAGGATCACAATTCTGCAAAAACATAATAGACCTTATGGGAGTATCACTTATGGTAATACCTCGAGGCATATCAGAGGACGAAGGAAAAGTGTTAAGCCCATTGAAAACTCCACTCATTTTGGAAATGAACATCATTATTTACGAGTACATAGCTAAATGCAATTAAAAGTTCTGCTGTGGCACTCACCTTGTGACTAAGCGGAACTCGCCACCGGTGCCAGGGTGTCAGTGGCGGCGATCTGTACGGGCGGCTTGGGCAGGGCCTCGGACTGGCTGACGATGCCCGCCGCTGGGGCGGGCAGGGACAGGAGAGTGCTGGCCGCAGAGACGGTGATTGCCGTCTCCTTGGGGGCCGGGACGGTGATTGCCGTCTCCTTGGCCGGCTCTGACTTCGGGCCGATTGCGATTTCGGGCTGGACTGCGGCTGGGGCTGGATCTGGGACTGTTGATGTTGCTGTTGCCGGCACTGTAACCACCGCTGTCGTCTTGGCCAGCTCCGGGGACTTGGCCGAGCTGGAGGTGAGCACCAGGGGAGCCTCCTCGGCCAGGGCAGCGGCTTTGGCCTCGGCACGAATATTCAAATTGGCCGCCACTTGATCGATCGTCGTCGGTTTCTTGGTGAGGGCACGCGGCGAGGTGGCTGCACTGCATCCAGAGCTGCTGTGGCTGCTGCCATTGCTGCCAGTGGGACTGAGCAGGCCCGGCGCGGTGGTTGACATCTTGGGCTTCTCCTCGGCCTTCACCGTCAGGGGTTTGGTGATTGCACTGGCCAGAGATGCTGCTGCCGCTGCTGCTGCCGCTGCTGCTGCTGGAAGCGTTGTCTGATTGCGAAAGGCCAGTGCGGATGGATTGGGTATGCTCCGCACTGAGGCATTCTGGGGCCGCACCACTGCATTCCCATTCTTTGGCTTGTTCTCGAAGATGTTGCTGCCGCCCGACTTTATCGAGATCTTCTCGCGCGCCGTCGCCGATTCGGAGAGCAAATGCAGATTCTGTAGATCATCGCCAGTACCAGTGCCAGTGGCTGTGCCACTGCTGCTGCTGCCGCTGCTGCTGCTGCTGGTGGTAGTGGTGGTGGTGCCGTTTCCCGTGGCTGTTGTTGACGCTGCCCCAGAGGTTAATCCTCCTCCATTGCCGTTGCTGTTGGCGGATATGTTCTGTTTGATTTTGTTTAAGGCTGCCTCCAGGCTGTTGCTGCTGCTGCTGCTGTTGATGTTGCTGCTGCTTGTGGTGCTGATGTTGCCAGCAGGCGGTGATGTGGATGTGGGCGCCCTGTTTGTCCCAGCCAATTTTGTGGTTGCGGTGCTGCTGCTGCTGCTGTTGTTGTGGCTGCTGCGACCCGGGTTCGCTGATAAATCAAGTATGTCGGCATCCTTGGCTAATGCTGCTGCTGCCGCCGCAATCGCTGGGGCCGTTGTCATGGCTGTAGTTGTGGCTGCTGCTGGCAGCGCAGTGCCAAACGGCGGTCGAAATTCGCGCAAACCCGTTTTCGATGGATCCAATGCAGCGGTGCCATTGGTTTTGCTTTGACTGCTGCTGCTGTTGTTGCTGTTGCTGCTGCCCGTCGTCGAACCACCTCCAGTTGCCGCTGCAGCTGGCGGGGATTTCTTTGAATTGGCGTCTGCCTTTGGGCCTGACTTTGATGGAAACGAGAGTGGAACGGTGTTGCGCAGATTTATTAATGCAGGCGGAGATGTGCGATAAGCCGCATTGTTGTTCTTGTTGCTGTTGCTGTGGCTGCTGCTCTTGTGGTTGTGGCTGTAGTTGTGGCTGCCACGTTGCCCACTCAGCGCCACTGACAGCGGCGGCGACTTGACAATCGCCGGGATCGGCATTGGCATCGGCATCGGCATGGGCATCGGCATGGGCATTGGCGGCGACTGGACAGCTCTCTTGGCCTGGCCCTTGGCCTGGCTCTGGGCCTGGTTCTGGTTCTGCTTGGGCAGAGCCGCCGGTGGTCCCATTATGCGGCCGCCAGTCATCATCGCGGGCGGCTGTTTGGCCACCGCCGGCTTGTTGGGTCCCAGGCGCACAATCTCCAGGGCGGGCACGTGGCTGGGGGGCTCTGGGAAGGAGTAGGAGGCCAATTGCTGACTGGGTCGCCCCCGGGGGGTGATGGTCACCGAGCCACTGCTGAGGGTGGCGCTGGGCAACGACATGCTTATGCTGGCCGGACAGTGCACGGGCAGGGCCTGCTGTTTGGCCATCTCCGGGCCGTAGAGGCGCATCTGGGCGGGATTGGGCTGGTAGGAGGCGGCGGGCACCTTGGGCATGTTGCCGTTGGCCTGCATCTGGAAGCGGGCCGCGTAGCTGGCCATCGCCTGAACCTGCTGCAGACGCGCCTGCTTGGCCTGGCCGCCGGCCAGGGTCTCGTCCACGGAGACCGAGCGCTTTGGCTGCTTGTTGGCCGAACTGGCGATGGAGCTGGGGGTCGAGAGGTAGCGCTGCATGTGGTACATGTTGCGATTGGCGTGCGTCGGTGGCTGGGGCACCACAAAGTGTCCACCGGGGGCCGACACCTGGGCCTGCTTCCGGTTGTTGTTGTTGCTCAGCGGCGGCTTCGTGGCACCCTTCGCCGGTTGCTGCTGCAGCGGCTGCTGCTGTTGCTGCTGCTTGGGCTTTGGCGCCGGAGCAGCAGTCGTCGGCGGGGTGAGCGGGGTTGGAGCTGGGGTGGGATTTGCTGCTGGGGATGTGGCTGGGGTGAAGGCCTTGAAGAGGCTGGGCGGCAGCGGAGGCGATGCCGGCAGCGAGAGTTCCTTGGCCACCAGCGCCATCTTGGTCACTTCCGTTTCCGCTGTGGGCGTGGGCGGCGGCGTGGGAGCGCCGGTCATGAGGCTGCTGATGCTGCGCGACTCCTCGCCGAGCGTCCGATTGAGCACGTCGCTGGTGGCGCCTCTCTCTGTCGTCTCGTCCAACTTCAGGTGGGAGAGGGAGATGGCGGAGCCGAGGCCCAGTTCACCGCCAGCCAGGGAGTGGGATCGCTTCAGGTCCAGCTTGTGCGCCTTGTGGTTGGTGGTGGGATTGGAGGTGATCTTCACCTTCATCTTGCCGTCGGTCTGCGAGGAGATCTCCGCGTGCAGCTTCTTTCGCTTTCCGTTCGCGTCCTTCGGCTCCTTGGAGTGCTTCTTCTTGCGCTTGCGATGGGAGCCCGAGCCAGAGCCCGAGGTGGAGTTAGAGGTGGAAATGAAGGTGTTGACATCTGTCGTGCCAAGGCCATTCGAACCGGACCCTGAGCCGTTGGTGGATGTGGAGCACGAGGACATGGGCGAGGCGTTCGGACTGTATTTACTGTCCGCTGGGACCACCGCTGGGGCGGAATGGGCGGGCTCAATGGGCTTGAGGCCGATGTTCTTCGCGTAGGTCTCCAGGTCGAGCTGCTGCACCGAGCACTGAGTGGTGTCCTCGAGGCGAGGCTCCGCCGACAACGGCATGGACAGCTTGCTCCTCATGCTGTTGAGCTCGATCTTCAGCTTAGGCAGGTTCCCCTTCTTGTTGGCCGTCTTCAGCTCAAAGTCCCCCTCGTCGCCGTAGCGGCTGAGCTGCGAGGGCGGAATGCTGACCACGATGTTCATGTGTGGGGGCAGGCCGGACGATTCTCGGGGCTGCTCGGCGGTCGCATCCGGTTCCGGCTCCGGCTCGCTTTTGACGCGGGCCACGGCATAGTCGCTGTAGCGCATGTCGTTGCTCCGGAGACTCTTGAAGCTGCTCACCGAGCTGGAGCTGGAGCTGTCCTCTAGCTCTCGCTTGGCCGTCGCCAGGCGCTTGGTCTTCGGGGGCGGTGACAGCTTCGAGGACTTGTTGCTGCGTCCCTTGGCACGTGGTGACCCCGACGACACCAGAGCCGAGTCCAGCTCGGACTCGAGGTCCTCCGCGAAGGTCACCGACTTCCCGCCCTTAGAGCGACGCACCTTCTGCACATTGTCCACGTCTTGGTTATTAATCTTCGACAGATTGTTCTCGTCGTTTTTTGCTCGCTCGCTCTCGTACACCATAATCCGGTAGCAGAAGGCCATCGGGGCAAGCTGCAGGGGGTGGACAGTGGATGGAAGGAATGTGGGAAAATGGGGTTGGAAAATGGACATTGAACGTTAATCTGGTGGCACAATTGGATTCGGTTTCCCCCTGCCCCTCTTCCCGCTTCATCCGAATTTTCCGGTAGTTGGAAAAGCCACAAAAAGCGACAATAGACACCGCCCCATAATCCCAGAGAGTAGAGGATGACGACACTTACCCCAGTCCACTTGTAGCAATAGCCCACGTCCATCAGAGTGAAGTTGGAGGGCAGCACCTCGTCCTCGTAGGTCACCTCCACCTCGACCAGCTTGTTCTCCGCATCGATGTTGTACTTGGAGCAGAGGAAACGCCGCAGCAGCTCCACCTTCAGTCCGGCGGGGCACTGCAGGTAGATAACCGGCGGCACCTCGCCCGCCGTGCACTTCTCCAGCATCGCCGGATGGTATTCCAGGGAGAGACTAAACGAAAGACAAGCCAAAATTGGATGGCATTAATACCCTGGACCCCTTGAACCGGCTTTCCCTTCCCCTTCCGTCTTTTTTAACCCTTCTCACCTCACAAGATCCGACGATGTAAAGAACTCCGGCTCCGGCTCTGGCTCGGGCGGCTGGTCGTCCGCTTCGAACAGGACCCGATGCTGCTCTGTGAATTCGGCCAGCTGATCGCACGCCCGTCTATAGAGACCCGGCACCAGCTTATAGATCAGAGATCGCAATGTGTCGTCCGATCTGGAAGGGAAATGTGGGCATTACTCTTTGGGTCGCTCCAAACTGAGGGTTTCATGTAAAAGGGAACTAGAAAGCTTTGAAAGCATAGCCTTTTTCCTGGTATAACTTGTTCTACGACATATATATCTTATATATACATATCTTCCATCTTCCATCTTATAGAAATCTTTAAAATTCTAGGGAATATGCCAAAAGCGCTAATCTGTGTGAAACTCTGTACTCGAATTCATGTAGATCCTTGTAAATTGGATGGATGGTATGGATGATGGACCTACCTGAGATTGATCTCGCTGATCTCCTTGCCGCCGCTGGCCTTGCACTGCGGGCAATAGGCGACGCGCAGCAGATGCTTCAAGATGCAACTGCGGCAATCTGTGAAGGAAAGGGTTTGGTTTCATTTGGGGATATCCTGGCAAAAGGACAACCCCAGACGGGGGGGGGGGGGGGGGGGGGGGAGACTACTTACATGTGTGATAGCAATAGTCCACTGTGGTGGGATCGATCATGTAGCCCTGGCAGAGGCCACAGGTGATCAATCCATGAAACTGCCGCACATCGCAATGTGGGGCAGCAGTTGCCGAGGAACTGGAGGCCGTGGAGATTGTGGAATCCATAGCGGGTCTGGCCTCGGGTTGAATCGTTTTGTGCGTGGTTTGGAGATGCATTCTCCTCCTCCTCCTGCCGGAAGTGTGTGTTTTAGTTAGCCTCTCTTTTTGGTCAACACTCAAGCGGCAAGCATGTCCTGCAATAAAGAAAGCAGTTCAGGTTTAGGGGGGAGTTTTATCCAAGTTATGGATAATAAACTGTTGGTCCGTGCTCGTGCACCCCACTAATGATGGCCAAAACGAGCGAGCCTCGACCTCACAACGGTGACTAGAGCGACGGGGCAGGTGGAAAGGGGGAAACCCATAACTGTGAGAAAGACAAGATTGAGCAAAGACCCATCATCACATCACCATTCGCCCATCATCGTCAACATCTTTGTGGTTGTCGCTCGTCAACGGCAGCGACAAAGCCACAGAGAGAGATACATCATCAACTATGTATCTGTATCTGGCCTCAAAGATACGGCAACGTCAGCAGCACACACACACAGTGAACACTAGACACAAAACGGAAAACTTTAGACTAGTAAGGCAGCCATCCATATCCATGAATCGGAACAATGATGAAAACAAAAATATGGATAAAGCAAAAAGAGTACAAAAGTAGCAACTCTATAGGGTAGGGGGCCTGGGGGCCAGGGGGGGCAGGGTCTGTAGTCTTTCGGGCGCACAAGCGACGCCCTTCGTGCCACAGAGGGCACCTACCGAGAGAGTATCACCCGAGAGAAGCACACACACACACACACACAGACACAGACACAGAAAACGATGTGCACTCGACGGTGTACTTGAAGCTAGTTTTAGCCTACCTCCCCCCCTGAACCCTAGTGCCCCCAGCACTCCTCCTGGCACTGGCACTGGATGTTGCCGTGCAAGCGAATAAAACTACGAAAATTACGCTTTTGTGCCCCACACAGACTCAAGAGAGTCAGTAGGCAACAGAATTTCCATCATTATTACAATGATGACTACCACGATGATGGTGATGGCGATAATGATGATGCGGGAAAGGCGGAAGGTGGCAGGGCAAAGTTCAGCAGGTTGTTTTGGGGAACAACTCATGCTACTATAGAGAATCTCTGGGTTGGCGAACCCAGAGGATTTCTAGATGCTTCTATGATCTGTCAAGCCAAATATTGTTTAAAAAAAAGGTATTTCACCTTAAATTTAAGTCTACCAAATAGTATAATCCTAGTAATATGCTGTTTCAACCTATCCTAAAGGATGTCATTTGGGTTTTAAAATAATATTTGGGTCTATAATATATGTTAGCTATTCATTTGCATACCCTTAACCATGAATATATCAAACTTTTGAACTTTCGTGTATCCCATAAAAGATATTGTTTATGTGTAGTGCTATCTGAGTGTATAAAATATTTCAAAAGTATCTCCAAGAGCATATTTTTGCAGTTTTCTGTCTAATATTGTTATTAAATGTGTGTTAAAGTAGACCATCCACCTTCTGGTAGATGTTTTCCCAGACTTTTAGTTCTGTTTTCCTTTTATCAAACCCTTTTTTGTTCGGATCTACATATTTTTCAACCCAGACTTTATTCTGAGCTTCTGCCACCCCAAAGGGCAGCCAGTAGTCGCATCAGCTTCATCCATTTTTTGTCTCCGCTGCCTTTCGCCTTTCGCCTCTTGCCTCGTTTCAGTTTCGTTACTGGTTGCTGCCTCACGCGAAACTGGCACGAAAGCTGGGGCTTTTGTGAAGGGAAGACCGAAATAGTTGTAGCTGTAGTTGTCAGCAGGCAAAATGACAACACAGAGACACGACCGAGGAGAGGAGATGAAGAATAGTAAGAAATGGGAATAAGCAGGGGAGAGAAGGCTGAGCTAGCAAAACAAAAAACCCAAACAAAAACAAAAGCTCAAGAAACTAGAAATAAGCCAGAGCTGAAAAGTGGGCGCAAAGAGGTGGAAATAGAATATGAAGAAGATGGTGATGCTGCCGCTGCTCTGCTCTGCTTCTGCTTCTGCCGCTGCTTCTGTTGATTACAAAGTGTGGGCGCCCACGCCCACACGCCCGTGGGCCCGCCCACTCAGCTGTGGAAAGGCGTGAGAGGATAAGTGCTCGTTAAAATGCCACCCATTGCTGGCCGAATGGCCTTTGATAACGTTTCGTATTGATGACGTCGACAGTGTGACGTTTTTGTCCACGCTTTTTGTTTATACGCCGCAATTTCGTAAAAGGCGCGCACTACGGCACACAAATACACACACAAAAACGCACACATACAGTGACAGTGACGAAATGGTCACAGCTTGAACAAACGCCAGCAGAGGCAGCGACACCGACAGCGGCAACAATAATAACAAAAGTTACGACAAGCGCCGGTACGGGACGACACCCACCGACCCGCCCGCAGGGTGGTGGTTGCTACTGCTACTCAGACACACACACACACACACACACACACACTCACATATGTGGAGCAGCATACGCAACAAGCTCTTGCCCGAATGTACGAAAACGAAAAAACGAAGCGACGACGACGACGACGACACCGACAAGCGAACGAAACTCACTCAGAAAAAGGTAAAATAAAGCGCGTCAAACAATTTCAGATGGAAACGGCAGCACTGCTGCCTTGTATAGCGTTTCTTGGGGCACGAAGACAAACTAAAAGCATTGCACGACGAAATTCAAATGCTACGTGCGGCACACACTAAATCGCGGTCTCAGATTCGTTCGCTTCGTGTGTACTCGCTCTCGTACTCGCCGCAATTACGAACGCCCGAAAGAGCGCACGCGGCGAAAAACGATACACCGACATGTGCGTGTATTTGTATTCGAGATTGAGACGACACAAATTTCTAGAAACACTCGCCGCGGCGAGAGAGCTGCGGCGGCGAATTCCAAGTGGGAGTGGATGGGAGAGAGAGAGAGGCCTGGCGGCAAACTTTCTACTTTTGCGCGCGCGCAATTTCGCCGCAATCAAGCCGTTTTTACGAACCGCTTTTCGCCGCGCGACGAAATTCCCATACGACACACACACACGCGTATACACTGGTCACGTGTACGTGTGTTTACAAAATGTTCACCAATACACTGACACTGCACACTTTTTCGGCGTGAAGTGAAATTTTCCGATTAGAAATGAGTTTCGTTGTTGTTATTTTTCCCATTTCCACTTGGCTTACTTTTCCGCCCGTACTGAGGGAAACTGCGACGCAAATTGAGTATCCTCTCGAGCTAGAGGAGAGGACCCCGCCGAGTGTCGAATCAGTTTTTACGCGCTTTTCTAATCGATTTACACTAAATGGAAATCCGTATTCACACACACACGCACACACACAAACCACACGGACGCACACACCCAACAAGCAGCGGCATAAACAGCGCTGCTTCTTCTTCCACTTCAGCTGCTGGCTCTTATCGATTTCTCATACACGCTCTTTTTTCCAACCCAACCATCCTCAGACAGAGATTTTTCTGCTCGCTCTCCATACCTCTCCGTCCGTCTCGCTCTGTCCCTTCTCGCTGTGACGCGTGTAGTATTCTCCCGTATTTCTCGCTTACAGAGTGCACGCCACGAAAAGTCTGAAAAGACTGAGATACAGATAGACCTGCTGGCGCTTTGAACCGTTTTCGTTTCGTTTCGTTTCGGGCCGCGTTTTCGTGCGCCTCGACGATGTTCAGCGCAAGCTCAGAGAGAGCGACCAGAGCGAGATGGATCGATGTTGCTATCTCTCGCCATTCGGTGCGGTCCTTGTCGTTGCTGCTGCTTGATTGGCTGCCCGAGCTCGCGAGTGGGTGTGTGTATTTGTGTGCAGCGTAGTTACGAGTGAGAGAGAGAGGCGAGGCAGTGGAGAACTTGATTTTTTGGGGTGCTATACACCGTGCATCGTTTCGTTCGTTCCCGATTCCGCGAGAGTGTGTGGGTGGTGTTTTTAATTGAATTCGACTCCCGTCAAATGAGAGATTAACGCGTTGGGGCCTCTAAGGCCTTGACGTTTATAATTAACGCAAAAATGCTCGTTTCGCTGTTGCTTCATCTTTTTTTTTCGCTCGTTTTGGCCATGTCCCCATATCGCAGCGCCGTTGGGCATTTCATTTTGTTAAATCTGTTGAACCTGTTTTGGCCCCAGTCGCAGTCGCAGTTCCAGTCCCAGCCCATATCCCATATCCACAGCCATATGCAAAGTGCGTTGTATCTGTGGCTGACATCATTCGCGTGCTGAAACTGATGCCGCCACTGGATTTTACATTCACTTGACAGTCGGTCGCCGCAGGGGGCAAACGCACAGAAAAACAACTGCTTACGCGATCTGAAATTTGCATTACAAAGGATTATGGCAGCTAAATGTCCTTGGATAATTTCCAGCACGTTCCACAGGAACGTTTCACGGCTGCTTTGGCTTTGCCCCAACGAAAAACGGCGGACATTCTACTGGCAGGCACCGCACGTTTGATCAACTGACAGAGATAAATGATGAGACGTCTCATATCCATGGCGGTCATGTCCTCAAGTCCTTGCCGCCGTTACTGGCATGGCAGGCAAATCCCTCTCAAAAGCCTTGCCACCGAGACGGATGTGTTCGTTTAGCTTAAGTATCTTCAGATTGGCTTTGTGACAGTACCTGAAGATACATTGATTTAGTTGAAAAGTGTAAAACGAAGTAATCGTAATAAAGAGGCCTTAGCGGAACTTGGAATGTGGTCAAGTTTGATGTCGGGACTTCAATGCCAAATATTCGGAGATACGACAACAAGTACAGATAAATGCTGATTAGCAGTCGGAAGTACTGGGCTAAAATCATCTTTAGTGATTAGCGGTGACGCTTTGTACAAAACTGTTTATCAGTTTTGGCATAAAAGTATCTAAATTAGACACTAGAAAGGAAATCACTAGAGAAAAGAAGAGAGATCAAAGGCCCTATAGGTAGAGAACGGTCGAACGGTACAAATTATTCGTATTGCCCAACGATGCATACGTAAATATCCCTCAGATATGGGTAGTATTCCGAGACGATTGCATCAATTTCATTTTACAAGGCTTCGTAAGCCTGAACCCTTTAGAGACTTATGCTCGGATTATAGTTCCCTCTACTATATAATATCTACAACTAATTACCTTCCTCTCTTTAAATCACTAATAATAGCATACCTTTCTCGTATTTAGTATTATAATTCATATTTTGAATGCAGCTTAGTTCTTATTTTCCTCGAATATTAGTCGCGTTCGGTTGGGTTAGCGCGCCGCGGGTCATGCTGCAGCGCTCCTCGGTCGGTTGGGCGGAAGGTGGTCTGCATTTTGAATGAGATCGTCGTGTAATAGTCTTTTGCTGGTGTCACATGGTCACACCATTTGATGGTCTGAGTGCAGCCATATCAACGTCCAGAAACTGGGAGAGCTTTTCTTATTAGAAATGTATATTTATCTGATCTTGTTTAAACACTAAATAATATTATCTGCATTCTCCCAGTTATTCTCCCATGAGTTTATCTATTACATAAGAGTACTTACACCCATTCATCCTCTCTTTCTGTCCAAAGGTGTAATATTTTTCGAAAGTAATTAAGAATGCTTCCCCTTTAAAAAGCTCCACTCAGAGCCCATGTGCTTGACTTGCGGCTCGGCACATACACACTCACCGATACGATGCATGTTTCTGTGTGTGTGAATCCTTTTGACTCGTTGGCAAATGAATCCTCTGGCAAAATGAATAATTAATGTAGCAACTGTGCTGCGGTTTTGTCTGTGAGGTTGCACTAACACAGCGATGTTAGGTGTGTGGATGCATGGATACTTGGGTGTGGGATGGATGAATGGCTCTAATTGCATTTGCTCTTGTCCATGGTTCTGTCGGAGGTATGGCGGGGGCTTTTCAATGACTTTCTGGGGAATCAGAATACAATTTTATTGCAACATGGATTTGCGTCATGTTTCAATTAAGTGGGGATGTAGTATAGGCGGTGCAATCTGTCTGGGGACTCCTTGGAAACTGCAGCAGTCCTGCATTTATGCAGCTCGATCTGAGATTACTGTCATAGGGAGATGTGCCTTAGAGGCCTGGATGAACAGGCAGCCGAATCGAATCGGTATTCGCTTTGTTTGGTCTGTTAGAATCAGCGTCTCAGCTTTCTGATTACATCGAAAAACTTGCCCAAAACGGACAGAACGAAGCAGGTATCGTAATTTTTACGGTGTCAGATCCGGAAAGTTCGGTTTTTTTCTCGCTCACTCTTTATTTGATTTCTTTCTGAAGTAATTCACCAATTTACTGCTTTTTTGCTCCGTATTACGTTACGACTCATTTCAGAGACTCCGTACGAGACCTGCTGATTTTCATCAGTGCTCATACTCGGTTGGTAATGATTCTAAATGATCCAAATCTGGCTGTAGGCATGATTCGTAATGAATACTGTGCATTCATACAGGGCTCTAATGTGCATGCAGGAGACCCATTCGCCATATTTGAAACATGAATTTTTAACAATTTAGCGGACTATTTTTGTCCGCCCAAAGGCTATTGGAACATTATTATGCATTGGGTAGGTATAGTAGTAGAAGATGTAGAAAAGGGAGGGAATTAGTAGTAGAAATTATGAGGTAGAGGAAATAATAAACCGAGAATAAGACCCTAAACGGTTAAGGGAAGTAATAATTCGATCTATAAAGCAGAAGGAATAAAGGTACATATCTAATGGATATTATAGGAATCATCAAGATTATGCGGCACAACAAGTCAGGAACTGGTTCTGTATGGTCCTGGTGTACTTTGTAGTAAGTTATGGGCACCATATAGAATCTTCGCTATACAGGAATTATCCGATTCCCTTGAGCCCCCTCTCTTTATCATAATTTGGGGCACTTCTAAAGAAGAGTTCCGTCAAATGGACGCCTACGTACTCATGCACGGAGATGTTCGCTGAAGAGAGTACCTTATGCCCTGTCCAGGGAGAAATGGTGGAGGTTGAGAGGGTATGACAACTTGTAGAAAGATTCACATTGACTGGAACTGCCCAAAAGGGCTATCCGAAAGAGAGCTTTTTTTATTTATACCATAGGATCTACATAAGCATGGTACCATTCAGGGTACGGTGTCCGGTTTGCCGTGAACGCCCCACAATAAATTCCAAATCTAACCCGAAAAGCCATTATTCTGCTGGAAAATAATTTTGACAGGTGCACTTATTACGGTGCTTTCTAGCAATTACGTACTTCCCGCCCACTACCACCGCTGTCGCCTCCCCTCGCCACCACACACACCCGCAATTAGTCGAAAATGTACGCTCAAAGTGACAGTTATCAGAAAAGGGAGCATAATTTATTAACCAGATCGCCGGTGGGTGGGAGCGAGAGAGCAACACAGTGGCGGCAGCGAAAAAAAAATGCGACGACCTTTTATTTCAGGGTACGAAAAGATGAAAGATTTGCATTGGGATTGCTGCAAAACAAATCTGTGCGGCGCAATGAAATATCATTTCATATTAACCCTCGAAAAAAATACCACACAGTCTGTCTGTGTGTGTGAGAATCCGTAATGAGAACTTGCGGTACACAGATAATGCGGGGTATTATTTCAACGCATTCAAGATACCGAACCGAAAGCCAAAAGCAACGACGAAACAGCAAACGAACGTTGCCCGCCACTCTCTCATTCTCTCTCTCTCGCTCTCTCTCTCCGCCGCACACAGCCAAGCACAAGCTT